AAAAAATGGACGGTTAGCTAAGGGGGAGGATAGAACTTCTATGTTGTAGGGGGGACATCGAAAGCTTTCCCATATAATAATTCAATCTAACATGATACATCATTAAATATTTTTAATGTCATTTGGACATAAACAAAACATGATAAGATGTTATTGATAATTACATCTCATTGAAAAGTAATAGCTCAGCATCACATCCTCTTGGGTATAAATTTAGTTTTCTAAATAAACGAAAGAATACTAAGAAAAAAAAATAGCAAAAAGTAAGTCACAACTTGGTTAAAAATAATAAATAACATTATCAATCTAAACAAAATATTCTTAATGCTTGTAAAAATAAAAAGGCAAAAAATTCTTAGCACAAATTTACATATATTGTTGAACTTGAAATATTCATAATCAGTTATCACAATGAAAGTTTTCAAATCAAGTATCTTTTTAAATAAAATTGATAACCAATATTTGTCTCATCATAATATGTATAATTGCTCAAGGACCATATTGGAAATAAATAAGAATATCTTCCAACTTTTTTCTATAATTTATTTATTTTTAAATAATGAAGAGTGAGAGATAGAGACTTGTGTATCCTTGGGTAAAGAGAGAGAGAGTAACTTAAAATTCAAAATAGTATTGCACATTGATTTGCATTCATTTCATGCTATTAAGATAAAATAGAATGCCAACAAATTTTTAATTTAAGGCAATAAAGAACTTACCACAAAAGCTTTGTAATTGAAATCTACCAAATTCTAATTTAAGACAAGAAAAAACTTACCACAAATTCTTTAAAAATGGAACCTGCCAAATTCTAATTTAAGGCATTAAAGAACTTACCACAAATGCTTTATAATTGAAACCTGCTAAATTCTAATTTAAGGTAATAAAGAACTTATCACAAATGCTTTATAATTGGAGCCTACCAAATACTTTTCATATTCAAACTTGCCAAAATAAAAAAATTGTATTTGGAGCTTACCAATTATTTTGAAACATTTCCTAATATTGGCCATGATCCTTAGAGGACAAAACTTTTTAAAAATGAAGACTTTAGTGCAATTAGAAGGAAGTCTACCAAGAAACTCGTGGAAGTTCTTTTTATTTTGGAAGTTGCAACCACGGATAGCTACTATGCTCATACCCAAAACTCAAAAAAAAAAGAAAGAAAAAACCCATCAATTGTTTTGTATTTTCTTTCTTTAAAGTTTCGGATTGAAGAACCAAGCCGTTTATAGAGGATTGTGCCCTAGGGTAATGATATAATGCAACCTGTTGCCATAATATATACCTGAATGAGACAAGTTTTGTCCCAAATATTTCATAAAAAACAATTGTAGTGTAACCACAATTGGGCAAGATGTGTTGTGAAATGAAGCATTAAACTTTCTTCCTTACCTCTTTCGCCACAGTGGAGAGCCACGTCAAATGGCTTCAGCGACATGCTGATGGCCCCAACAACCCTATGGTGTGCGGTCTCGATCCTCAATCAAGCCTCTGGCTATTCCTTCCGAAAGAAAGATATCATCGCACATTCCTTCTAGATAAGGAATACCATCGCATATACCCGACAGGAAATACCCTTGCCTAACTTCATTGGGTTTTGCCAAGCCCTCGCATCTCATACCCCATGCTCTGATACAATTATCAGTCCCAATAAAGAAAATTAGTAAATAAATAAATAAATAAAATTGACAAATAACTTACTCGGTCACACGAGGGACTTAAGGTTCCATACCAAAACCTATAGACCAAGCAATCTGGTTACAGACTACCTTGAGAGTTCTCTTGGTAAAACTCCTTCACCTTCCATCTCTATTTTTTCTATCCTTTTTTCTCAATCTTTTCAGAGGGGTTGACCTCTTTTTATAAAGAGCGCATTTATTTTGTAACTCTCATATTCATGTTCTATAAGGAGTTGAGATCCAAGTGTAACTCCTGCCTTAAGTCCCTTAAGTGCAGCTAATTAAGATTAACAAGTTGTCACCAAACTGATAATACTATGTAATGAGCTAAACCTGCCATTAGTCCTCTAATGACTCATATAATAGGATGTCATCCAAGCATTCCCACAATATACAAGGAATCCAACCACAACACTGGGTTTTCCTCCAGTGATATTGAGTTTTTTCCTCCAATGATACATCCTATTAAAACTCAAAAATAGATCCATGTATATGGCATTGCCTCATGTTAACCACATTGGATTTCACATATCTTTCAATATGGTTTTTGTACTATTATTAAACAAATGAATTTCTGGGAGAAAAAGGGCTTGATAGGCTACATTTCCAACAAGTACAATTAAATTTTTTTATTGAGGTTAATCTATAGGTTGAGAAGGTTAATCCCTGAAAATTGAGATCCTAAAAATAACTATAAGTAGAATCTTACCTGAGGGAGTTAATGGACATTCTAGAATATCTTTTGGCTTTATTTTATGGAAAAAGTTTATATAAGGTTGCAAACTTAAAATGTAGAATTAAGATGCACCCTAAAAATCCATCATAAAAAATTGTTTTGATATTGGAAAACCCTCTAATTGATCAACTCGATATCGAGATGTATGAATATGAAAAAAAAAAAACGATTTTGAGTACCAAATATGGTGTATCTTGCAAAACATTATCTGAACAGTCCATTTTCAAGATTTTCATATGTTTATAAATCTATTTGATTTGAATCATTTTTAGATTTTAAAATTTTATAATTATTGATAACAATAGATTTTCAAGTCATCCTAATAAAATTTTTACATTAAAATTATATTTATGGTAAATTTTGAAGGTGTATCTTAATTTAATTATTTAAAATTACAATTTATACAAACCTAGCCTTTATTCAAAAGAGCATAAAGCCACCAATCTTGATGGGACATATCGAGCTTCATGTTTAATTCTCGTTCAAACCAAGTTGACGCACTCAATAAAAAAATAGGAGACATGAGCACTGAATTGTGTACCGGCTTTCATTTATTTTAATGAGCTATCCCTAGCCCTTCATAAACTCTTCAAATGCCTAATATGGCCTTGATATAGGATTGTTTAGGACTCGTGATTTTCAAAGCTTTTCTCATTTGGTGATTAAAAATTCGACGATTCGACTAGGAGCTGGCCATGTCAGATCGAGATCTAAAGGTGGATGATTCCAATTTGATTTTTTCTTTGACTTTTTAGATTATTTATTATTTCTATATGCTCTTGAATATCTCCAAACTTGGACCGTACAAATCAACATCCTTGAGATGGCCATTTAGGGCCTTTTTCTTTTTTCTTTTTTTTTGTTTTTTTTTTTAACGGTAGTTCAGAAGTAGGAATTGAACTTGAGATGCGACGTTGCTTAAGTCAATTGCTAAGCACTCGAGCCCAAGCCCAATTCCTTAATGTAATTTTTAAATCAATGCGAGGATTTCAACTGTGATAGTGTGGATTGTGTTAAGCGTGCAGTTGTCATACAATCCGTCATATCTGTAGAGGTAAGGTACTTCAAATTTTATCATGGTTATAAATTTGATGAAAATGTTTTTAGGATTATTTTAAAATCTATTTTTATATCTAATTATAAAAATTTAAATTTCAAAATGGTTAAAATCAAGTAGATCTATAAACATATGAAAATCTTGAAAATGGACGGTGTAGATAATATGTTGTAAAATGCACTATTTATGAGACTTAAAATATTTTTATTTTTCATGGTCATACATCTCAACATCGATGTCGAGATGATCAATCAAAGGGTTTTTCAACATTAAAACTACCTTTTTCGAAGGATTTTTGAGGTGCAATCCTTATAAAAACTTTTTCCTCGCGTTAAAATGGTCAAATTGGTGAAAATCATAGGAGTGTCTCTTCTTTTGAAACCGACCATTTCCGTATTTATTTTTTGGATTTGATGCGTACATAACTTAAAGGACATTGGCAAATGGATATTAGAATGATTATTATTACTTTTACACCTAAGATTTCAATGCACTTGAGAACAACTTTTCTGTCCTCTTAACTAAAAAGCAATGAAGGCTACGGCCAAAAGAACATATGGTTAAAAAGCAAAAGAGATAAAAAAGAAACGCACATGCTTCCACCAAGAGTACTTCCCATGTGCCATAAAACTTATCTTCAAAAGACTAACTCCCCTTAAATAATTCTTTTTAAAATGATCAAATGGGGCGGCGGGACCTGCCCGGGGCCAGGCCCAGCCCTTGTCCTTATAGGCCTGGCCAAGCCAAAAGCAAATGAAGGAAAAATAAAAGGGAAAACAAGAAAAAATTAGGTCGGGCAGAGCCAATCCGGACGGGTTCTAGCCCCGGCCAAGCCCTCGGGCCACAGTTTATGGCCGATGCCCTACTTTTTGATAGCCGCGCCGATCGGGCACCGCTGGTCACCCGACCTATTGGCAACCCCACTAGCCAGGCTTTAAATGAGCAAAAGTGTCCCAACTCGTATGAATTGTGTTCAAGGAAATGCACATGCGGCGTGTTGTGAGAGAGGAGATGCACATGCGCGTGCTGAGAGAGGAGAGATTTTAAGACAGTTTTGTACAAATTAAGCAATTTAATGCACATGCACTTGTAAGAATTTAGTGCAATTGAGCATCAAATGCTCCTTGTCATGACAAGAGATGGATTTTAAGGCAAATTTGTACAAATTAAAAGAGAGAGAGAGAGAGTTTTAGCACAAATTTGGTACGAAATACAAATTAAAACAAGACAAATGCTTTCAAAGAAATTTTTGAAAAAAGATTTCACCACTTAGATTTTATACACTCTCACTTATAAATATGCCATATTGAAATGAAAAAATGTTTCTACGAGCTTTACACTTTAAATATCAAATTAAGGAGTGTTTTTAAAAAAAGAAATTAAAAATTAATTTTAATATTGAAAAAATATCTCGTTAATCAACATCGAAATATATAGATATAAAAAAAATTAAATCCTAAAAATAATATTTATAACAGCACATTTGATATTTGCCCAATGTCATATCCATGAGAGTGATTTTGATTTCAATTATGGTTTCGTTTAGGGTGTGTCGGTCATTCTCTATGAACAGTAGGTCCTCCTCTCAATTTACCCAGCTTTACCCCTCTCTCTCTTTCTTTCTCTAAGATTCTGCTGTTTTGTGATCTTCGAATTGTGGAATTGTCTTCTACTAATCCACAGTTTCATGGTCGATCATTTTAGGAGAAGCCTCTCTCGCTCCTCTTTCTCTCTTTCTCTCTCTACAAGCCCTTCCCTGAAAGCCAGCGGAATTACAGAAGACCGCATTTAATTGTGTGATTTGCCACCTCTCTCTCTCTCTCTCTTCTCTCTCTCTACAATGGCGGGGAGCATGCAAACTTGGGTTCTTTACTATGAATAGGGTTATAGGGCGTGATTCATTTTAAACTGGAAATCCCTAGTGATTTTTTCTCCAAAATAAGAGGGCCCAACATCCTTAAAATGGTTAATGGAAGAGAGAGAAAACCCCATTAAAATCCTTGGGTTCATGTCTCTTCTATGCATATATGAAAGAGGCTACAAAATTGGCCTCTTCTAATTTTTGGGGTTTTGGGTCCAGTTCATTTTGCTCTGTAAAATGAGGCGGCGAGGTCAAGAGCTTCGACGCCCGGTTAGAAGGAGACTTTCAGGTGGGATCTTAGGGCTTCTTGGGTTATTCTTAGTGGCTGGTTTGGTACTCTTTGTGTTCCATCATCACCATCAAGATCAGTCTTTTCCAGTCCAGGTATGTTTATTTGATTGCCCGATCATATTTTGGCATATTGTTAATGCTTAACTTGATGTTTTGTTTCTTCTGTGGTTGTGATTCATTTTAAAGTGTTCACTGAAATTTGTATTGATCCTTGATTTGAAATCCATTCAGCAATTCTAGAAGTAGTTTTTTTAAGTGTTTCCATTTTTTCTCACGAGTTGGAGAAGTGAAGTCTTTAGGAAACTGGTTTGTTGTGCTTCTGTTATTTCTGACTGGTATTAGCTTTAATCTGATCACTTCTTGATCCCTGTTGTATTGCCCAATTGGCACTTTCTAGATTTGTTTTTTATTTTTATTTCTTGTGGTTGTTCTTCTGAGAACTAAATATAGGCAAATTTTCTGAAATTGTTTTATTCTTCTTCTGAGGGCTTGTTAATTGCATAAATATGCAAATTATTTATGTCAAGATGAGAACTTGATATTAATTTATTTACTCATTTTTTTAACTCCATCTTGATCCCTGTTTTAGCACCTAGTTAATACTTTTAGTATATTTCTGAAACTGTTTATTCTGCCGTTCATAAATTAATGTAATATTTACGTTTGATTGTAAAAAGCTTTAGTCCATTCATTAAATCTCATTGTTATTTTTGTTCTGGAAGCAGTTAGCAATTCCAGAAATTTTTCTTCCCCCATTAAATTTCTATTATAAAACTGGGGCTTTATTTTCATGTTTGAATTGTTCTTCTCACAAAACTAGAGAAATTTAGATTTTGTAATTTTTCCCAATCGCCTAGAACTGGTTTCTTTTTGTGATCTACTCTCTTAGGTACTTGGCTGGAGTTACACTTGCAACTAAAAGACTGTTTTTCATTTCCTCAGTTTCTTCAAAAGATTCTAAAAATATTTGTCATTGACATCTGGCTCATGCATGGGATAATGCGGCTGAACTTTTGTTACCTTACACTTTCCATTTCAGCTTGATTGTGACAAATTTCCACAAATTTATTGGAAAATTGTGATTCATATCCTAGCAATCAATGATTCAGGATTTATGAAACGTTTGGCAAAGTTTTGCGTTGGCTAACACAACACACCTCCTTTACCCAGGCTTGGAACATGTTAAGGGAAAGGCTTGGAACATGTTAAGGGAAAGTTTGAGGTCCTCGCCCTTCTTAGACCAAAAAATTTCCATTGCTAGGATTTGAACTCTAGTCTCTTCGGTGAGAGTCGAATATCCTAACCATCTAGACTACAACGGATGACTAGTAATAATGGGACTAGAGACGAGGAAGTAGTAATAGGCGTAGAGACCAAGAAGTAGTTAAGATTGACAGCCTAGAAATACCAAAAAGAGCTCACTTTTGATATATTGGGTCAATAATTCAGGAAAACAGAGAGATTGAGGAAGATGTTGCCCATAGAATTAGACCTAGGTGGGCACAGTGGAGATGTACAACAAAAGTTTTATGTGATCGTCGTATACCAATGGAGTGAAGGGGAAGTTTTATTAGATAGCTGTGAAGCCAACTTTGCTTTATGCTGTAGAATGTTTGGGCATTCAAGAAACAACATACCCATAAGATGAGTGTAGCTAAGATGAGAATATTGAGATGGATAAGTGGCAAGACAAGAAGGGATAGAAATCAAAATGAATACATCTGGGAGAACTTAGGTGTGGCTCCAATAGGTGGTAAGATGAGGTAAAGTAGAGGGTTGGTCATTTGCAGCACAAACCCAGTATGGCACCTATTAGGAGGTGCAACTTGGTTCAAGTGGAAGACTCAAACAGGATAAAGGGTAGGCTCAAAAGGTCATGGTTGGAAATAGTTAGAAAAGATAAGGGGACTTATGGCCTCATTGAGAGTATGGCCCTTGATAG